ATAGTCACTACATAATTTAAAAAATCACATTAACAAATTAATTTTTCAAGAAAAGAGAAGAAAAAAGAAAAATTAATTGTAGAAGGATGCAAACGCAGATATAAAATATAATAGAAATGTATATTCGTAATAAAAAAACAAGATGTAGAAAAAAGTATTATTGTACTTGTAGCAGGAACTTAAAAAACGAATAAAAAGACCGTTATTATCTTTCTTTTCGCTCCATGCACCACAGAACCAGAGAACTCGGAAATTCAATGGCAATATATCCATAATTCCGGAACGATCACTATAGATAGTCTCCCTTTTGTTGTGCCTTACTATGCTTCGAAAATATTAAGCTTGTAGAGAAAAATATAACGAGACTTTCCATACATTGTCAACGTCCGTTCTCATAAATTAATAATAATATCGCTGGAACGTTCTATAAGCGTTCAAAATGTTCTAACATTCTTTAACATTTAATGACAGCGACAGAATTAGCTGATTTTCTTTCTTTGCTACGTTTTCTTTTCGTCTCTATATTCATTTTCATATAATCATGAGACATCTGCGACAACATAACCGATCATTATTTTTTAAATTATAAACTTATGTAGCGTGCAGTATCGAATGTACAAAGGGATACTGAGAGTGAGGGATATTAAAGTATTATTACTATTGATGTGTATGAAAGAAGTTCTTTTGCGTCGCTCGTCTGTCAGAAAAACTAACAAACCTGAAAATTTTGTAAGGAAAATATAATAAATTGTAAATTTTTTTTGCAGAAGTGCACAAAATAAACTGCAAATATGTTTTTGGATTCGTACATCGTTTTGAATTACTCCGCAAAAAAATATTCAACAAGAAGTTTTATTTTTATCATAAGAATTTTATTTTTATCATAAAATACACAGGAGACTGAAAAATAATTTATTTAAGACGAATTTTCCTATGTAGATAAAAATATCTATAAAATTCTAGAGATACATGTATAGTAAATACGAAAATAAGTTTTACGTTAATTTGATTAGAATACAGTTGTTAAAGAATAGATACGGAGATATTAAATCGTAGCTTGCTGCAGCAAGTTGAAAGAAGAATAGGATGTTTTTAAAATCTATACAGAGACAAAGAAGAAAAATTTAAACTGCTTATATACACACATATAAATTTTATATTATACGTCACGCGAGTATTTAAGAAATTATATATACATTGAAAAAAAATGTTCTGATCGAACTAACAAAAGGACCTAACAAGAATGGTACTTTGGTAAGACTAAACAGAATTTCTGGTTATAATAATCAGAAATTTAATTTTATCTCATCAAAATGCCTTCCTATTAGGCTCTTTTAATTGTTGATTTAAGAACACTTTTCTTAGTATATAATATATTTTAAGAGTCATAATTATGTATATGCATATTTAATATGCTTACCCATGTGAAAGTACTAAGAACTAACGAGCAGATTCCATAAAAAGAAAGCATTCTGCCACCTTGGCTCATCATCATCATAAATGATAAACTTTTACGTTGCTTTGCCGATATTATTGTCCAGTCACTAGCATAAATAGCATGTGCGATACTTTTATTCTAATCAAAAAATATTTAACTTAGCAAATGGATTTAAAATACTAATTAAAAGTAAAATAGTCTAAAAGTTTATTATCACCAATACTTTTAAATCAAGCTCGTTGCCATACCAGCAATATGAGAACACTTGAAACAACATTGCTCCTAAGTATACTAAAAAAACGAAAAATTCAACGCTGAAGAATTTTTTCTGTAATATAAAAACATCGATTGAACATTATCTACACTTAGCTGATATGAATTTTATACATGTTTTAAACCAATTGTTATACATTAGACATCTGATAGACGCTGCTGCAAAGAGTAATAAGGCTGAAGAAGAACAAAATGGTAATAATCCACATAAATAACGATTGTATTCTGTGCATGATATTGCACACCGAAACATGATGTCTCACACATTCCGCAATGGCAAATTTCTCGATGACGTCGTGCTCCTTCTCTTTATTGTTCTCCTGTAGAAATCGGAATGTTTCCGACAATCGATAGCTCAACAACTCGATCTGCCCGCAAGTATGAATAATGAAACCGTAAACGAGGGAATCAAAAGCGACGTTTAGTGATACTCCGTAAAATACAACTGCAACTTGCTCAAGATAAGTCAACAGGTAAGGAAGTAACTCCATCATCGAATACGGTACGTACATTTTCATCGGTAACTGCCTTTCGTTCTGAGTCATTAAAGGTCCTATGAGAACCAAGAAACCCGATATTTGCGAAATAAACATGAAGGCACAGGCTATCCTTTTAGCTTCGTTCATAATACATCACGATGAAGTGGAGTTTGCAAAATAATTATATTCTATGAGATGTAGGAATATATACAACATATATACAAATTATATTACACATATTTAAAAAATTATATTAGGTTAAGTAAAAAGTCATCGCGTATTTTTTAGCTCAAAGTTGTATATACAATATCTTCGTCAATGAATGAAATTCAAATTTAAAAAAAGGGTTTTAAAGCTTGAAATCTCTACTTTTAAAAGCTTATCACATTTTTTAAGTTTATATGAGTTTGATAATTTTTACATACCAAAAACTACGAGCTGAAAAAGACGAAAAATTTTCTTCTCACTTTGTGGATTTGTAACGTGTCCAAAACGAATTTGAGAAAATTTTCGATTACCTATCGTGAAAGCTTGATACTTTCCCTACAAAATCGTTTTTTTTTAATATTCCTACGACTTTTGATTACTGAGTTATCGCGGATTAAATAAAAGAATTATTTTGACTTTAATTGCTCATAACTCCATTAAAAATTGTCGTATCGTATAATTTAAAAAAGAGATTTTTAAAGCTGAAACTTTACTCTATCAAGATATATTTATATTGTTGGTAAGAAAGTAATTGCGGTTTTTACTGATAGATGTCTTTTAAAAAAACGCGATGACTTTTTACTTAACCTAATATCACGTATTTAAAAAATTATGTATATATTATAAAAAATGTATTGATTGAACTAACAAAAAAATACAACAAAAAAGGCATTTTGATGAGACTAAATAAAATTTCTGATTATAATAAAGAGAAATTTAATTTAAAGTCTTACCAATGCCTTCATATATTATACTATAATGATTATAATTATATTTGTTCTATAAGAAAACAACTTTTCAATAATTTAATAATAATTTGTATTTAATAATAATAATAAGTAAAGAGCATTTAATAATATAGTAATAAGTAAAAAGACAATTAAAACTCCTCTAGTCTTAATAAATTAAAATTTCCTGTTGTAATTAAACTTTTCTATTAGAAAATCGATATTTCATCATTTTGATATAAAAATTAAATAATTAAATATATTGTAAGACTCGGCTCAATTATATTAAAACGAGAAAGACTATTAGAGCCTAGCAAGATAACTTATGCTATAATAAAACTTTATTGAAATAAATAATAAACAACTTTCAATAACAACTTTCAAACGCTTTGATCTTCTTTTAACGTTCCTCTTTAGGAATATGTCTAACTTACAATACTCAATATATAATAGTAATCTTCTTAATAAAACTTAATTCTTGTTCTCACTAATACATATTAATCTAAATATTCTTTTATTCATTTTTGTTTGTCTTGTATAATATTTTTATTTATAGAAAGTTGTTTATTATTTATTTCAATAAAGTTTTATTATAGCATAAATTATTTTGCTATAAGACTCTAATAGCTCTTTTGATTTTAATATACCTATTTCGAAATTATTTCGAGATTCACTTTTGATATACATCTCATATAGCATAGAATTTACAGCAAAATCTCTGCAATGTTGCAGAAGTTGCTGCAACTTTTATGCAACTTTGTACTATAGAGGCTGTGGCACTTTAAATCATTATACAAAATAAAATTGATGAATAAAAAATTATATTGTATTAGCAGCCATGGATAATGTAAAGATTTTATCATTTGAGTATAATTTTATATATTAATTTA